CAAAATATTTCTTTCTCTGAATTCTTCCCACACTATAATCACTATTTGTAAACTGCCCAGAGTCAGGCAGCATATAAATTTAATAAATTATTACTGTTAAATGTTTTGCACTTCTCTCAATACAATTATACAATTTCCAATATAAAACCTGAAGAATTAAGAATTGTAATCAATGACACAGAATGCCAAAAAGTAAAAATTAATTATTCTGTGCATTCCTCTTGCTAACAGAGAAGAAAATTATACTGTGAATTATACTTCAGGCATCTTAGTTTGAACTCAGGGATTTAAATTTCAGCTTAGTAATTCTTATGCTTTTTAATTATTATTATTTTTTATTTTTACATCAAAGTAAGCTTATAATGGATTCATTGAACAATACAGGAACACAAAAGGATGGTTTAAATACCTGCAATTCCCACTGTTATTGATCAGAGTTTTTAAAGGTTTCTAAATAAATATTTTGACATATTTTAAAGGCTGAAATAAAGATGAGATCAAGTTCTTTCTACTTACAATCCCCTTGCTCCTTTTCTTTCTATCTAATTATTGCACACCCAAAGATATTTCTTGCATTTGAGTTTCTGCAATGTCAGTTAAATATACCCAGGCACAGCAGTGTCTCTGTTTATCTGTGTGTCCTGGGATGGGAAGTATGCCATTGTCATTAAATCCCTTCTATTGTTGTATATGCATTTTGTGTATGTTTTGTACATGTATTTCATAGATCGTGTATAAATACTGCAGGAATTTGAATCTATTTGACTGGCCTGGCTCTAGCTGAACTAATGGAAATCCAGTGGTGTTTCAGAGAGAGCTCAGGGTTAAATAAACCTATAATATAGGTTTATTATAGTGTAGGTTTATAAGACTTAGTCACATCTTGAAATGAGCATGTGACAAGGGCCTTGGATCAGATCAGACTTTCTGTGATTTTCATTCCTACAGGGTTTATAGAGGAGCCCTGAGAGAGAAAATGATACAATTGATATCTATGGTGACACAAGACATAGATGAAGAAGAAGAAGAATGCTAACTGGCCACAGATGAGAGCTTCATTAAGATTTGCTTTGCGGCAATTAGAAGGCTAGACAGCTAGCCAGTTACTCTGTTTCAGATGACTAGAATCCTCCTTTGCATTTTCTAGACATCTCCCAGGCAAAGTTGCTCGAATTTGTTAGGAATTGTGCGAATCAAATGGAATTGACTGGCATATATCTTGCCTTGTCTGAGTTTGAACCAGTCAATCCCAGAAAAGTGGGCAGAGTCCTTACTGTTATGAGTGCTGCCACCTGTACTCTCCATCTATAACCTTCCTCCGTGGTCAAGACAATACAGAAGGTGACAGATTTCTGGGTTAGTGTATCAGAATGAGCACAATGTTTGCTTTTTGTGGAGTCAATAGACGTGGCCCAAACAGAAGCCAGTGAAGGATTTGGTTCATTGAAAGACAAGGGCTGCCTATGTTTGGCTCCAAACAGATTCTTCCTGTAAAGAGATCACAAAATAGTATTCCCCAGTGGATTTGAGAGGGCTAGGGCAGTGATGGTGAACCTATGGCACACGTGCCAGAGATGGCACTCAGAGCTCTCTCTGTGGGTACATGTGCTGTTGCCCCAGCGTCACCTCCCCCCGCGACCCCCTCCTCATCAACAGTCCTCTGAAGGAGAGTCGCCCCTGAGCATGGTCCACGTGAAGCAGTGCAGCCAAGAACATGGCACCCGGGTAGTGTGGACAAGACTCTGTCCTCATGCCCCATCATGCACAGTTGATACTACGGGGCACGGGCAGAGGGCATGGCTGCCATGATGCTGCTGGGCTGCCTGGGCGATCTGCAGCGGGCCCTGGAGGCAGTGAGTAGCCCTGCGGGCAGGCAGGGCAAAGACGGGTCGGGGCGGAGCAGGGGCGGGGCCAGTTTTTGGGCACTCAGTCTCTAAAAGGTTCGCCATCACTGGGCTAGGGGAATATTCATCTTGCTTAAGCAACACTTGGCACCTGGATCTCTCTTCTTTCCTATTTATTCTCTCTATGAGGTGGCTAGGTGAGTCCAATCCTTTTTCAGCTGGCCAGTGAAACAGTTTGATGACCAGGAATTAGGGGACAGCATCAATTGTGAATACGTACAGATGGCCCCTCTCTCTTTGGTCACTTGCAGAGTCTTGGATGCAGGTCATGAAAGGACAGCAAGGAAAACACCCAATGTCCTAACCCACCCAAGAACATATGATAACTTTAGGGAAACACCCAAAAGGGAACATGTTTAGCTACTTCTGCTTTCTCCCTTCTTATCTACAGTGTGCCAGACATACTGGGTGAAATCTTTATCTTTGCTGGATGGGTTGCTTATGTAATTAGAAAGAATAAATACACGGATTTCTTGTCATTCTCATTTAGAGGAGTCCGTCTCTATTCAGCTGAACATAAAGCTTGAAGGCAACTTCTGGTTTCCTGTATTTCTTTATCAAGCAAAACCTCAAAACCTGCATATCAAGCTTGCCTCCAGAAATCGTGGGTGCTCCATCACTGGAGATTTTTAAGAAGAAACTAGACATTCACTTGTATGGTATAGGTCCTCCCTTCCAGATTCTATTCTCTTCTCTTCTCTTCTCTTCTCTTCTATTCTATTCTATTCTATTCTATTCTATTGATGCACATGTTCAAATGGTTTTCTGCCTTCAACAGTCTCCAGTACCCCAGCAGAGAGCATTGCCAGGCAAACATATTTCAGAGTATTTCTTAGAATACTACTATTACAGAGTTCACTCTCAGCGTTCTCTTTGATCTGGCATCTGGGTGAACAGAAAGCTTTTACTTTCACAAATCCTAGACTGTTGCAGGTTTAATTTTATCTAGTTCCTATTGATGTACTCTGCCAACTAAAATTACATGTAAAATGTATTTTCAGTTATGTTCATCAATGTGCACTTTCAGTTGTGTTTCCCGGTAAGAAATTACTCTTTCAAAGAAGCAATCATAATTCCATTTGTAAAATCTGTCCTACAAATATTATTCAATACTTATACAAAGGATGGGGTGTATGGGAATCAAATTCTTTTTTGGGCTATTGCATTGGGAATGGCCCTAAAAAGTTTCATTTCTCATTGGTCACTGTGATCCGCTTAGTGAAGCTTTTGTAAATTACAGAATGAACCCTGTGATTTGAATGGTATGGTAATGACAACTTCATACCATTGCCTAATTATATATAAAATGATAGGGTGGTCTATTTTAAAAAATCAATACAGCTTTAGAGCAGGGGTGTCAAACTTGCAACATAACGTGATGTGTCGCGACGTATTTTGACTTTTTTTCCATTGCCAGCAATGGGGTGGGCACAGTTTCACCATGATGCATCCAGCCCAAGGGCCAGCACTGCTTTAGAGGGATTGGCCTTTTCACACTATAAGAATTGTTCTTGCTATTTTTAATACAAGTTTTTAGACATATAACTGAAAAGGTGATTAGTAATTCTATGAGAGTTACTATTATTTCTCCCATTTTACATTATAAACTTCTCCCATTTTACATTATAAACTTATTAATTAGAGGTGGTTTTTTTCTCTAATCCAGCTTTCTGGGACATGGGTATAAGCTGAAAAATGTGGCTTTAAATCAGATGCAGAATTCAGGTACAATCAGTTGCAATATCCATTTATGCTTGCTGTTGGCTGCTCTTCCCATTGAGCGATCAGCCAAAGATGGCAACAGAACTGCCATTACTATCTTGTTTGTGATATTTTTTTTAGTCATTTCATTTCTGCATTTGAGATTTGCTGTCTATTTTTAATAGCAAACAGTATTTATAGACATTGTTGCTAAAATCCTACTGTACTTCTAGGACTATGATTTTTATACTTTACAAGATGTCACACCTCAGCATATCCATAATACGTCTATTGCACTTATACATGTTTCAGATTCTGCATGTCACACAAAAGCAAATGTTTGAATTGTTGCCAATTCTTTTTCACACTGCGTCCCACATAGAAACTTTAGGAGGAGAACAAGATGCAGTAGGACAGAATGGTACTGGGTGCTTATTAACAATAGATTTTGTTAAAAAAATAAAGCAATGCAGATATGCTGGGAACTCACAGCATACAGTGATTCAAAAGAAATTACTGCACAATTATAAATAGTATTGTGAGCCTGAAGTTCAACATCCTTCCTCTCCCTAAATATTGTTGTCATTCAGTGTTTTGGAGTGTATTGATCATCCCAATTCTCATTCTTAATTTGGAAACTTAAATTGAACATACGGTACATAGATTTGATTGAAATGTTTTCTGCAAATCAATGTGGTAGATCTTTTGAGCAACATGTGAATGCACAAAGATAATAAAATAAATAAAATAGCTTATATGAGTCAAAGAAGAAAAGAAAATGGAAAGAAAAGATTATAAAGGTTTCAAAGAAATGGACAGTAAAAATTAAAGAAATGAATTTTGTTGCACGGTATTTCTTTCCTCATTCTTGTAGCAGTGAAAATATTGATGGCTTATATGTGTTTTAAATATCTTTAAAAACCATGAGCTTTGTGAAACTCATGGTCTCTTGTTTGTAGCATGGATAACCACTAGACAAAACTGGCTTTTCTGAAGTGCAGGTATAAAGTTATACAACTTTTTCAATAAACCTCATGATTATTAAAGATATTTAAAACCCATGTAAGCTATCAATATTTCACTGCTACAAGGTAGGTGTCCAGAGTCACCATTGACTCAAAGGCACACACTCACAGACACAGAAGAAGTTGGAGAAATGGTACTTATGATTGGATTATACAGTAATGCAAACTGGAATACAAAATCCAATGTAATACTTTAGTGACCGGTAAGAACATTATAAATATAGGAAATTGCTTGGGAGGGACATAATTGTCCAAGATTTAGGATACTGCCAAGATTTAAGATAAAAAAGAATTAGTTAGAAAGATATCCTAGCCTTAGATAATTATGTAATAAGAAGTAGTATAGAAAAATTAAGTAGCAAGTACTTACTTAATGTGAGTTCCCATTGGTTCTGTGGTACATGACTTCTCAGTAGATCTATGAAGGCATTCATCTGCATGACCCTCAAGCTAATAGGAACAGGAAACATGGTCATGAATTATAATTAGGGATGTGAGATCTTTGATTCAAAAAATAAAAAAAATCCTTCAACAAGCACAGATTGCAAAAATAAGTGTTGCTACTTTAATAGTTATTTCTTGCATAAGCCTGAAAAAGATTGGATACTTCCAGGACAGAGGAACTTGATGGGATTGTGCAAGGTTTGAAGCTGGTTTTAGAGACCCCTTTCCAGATTCTATCCCCTTCATCTTCTATGACCATGGCGATGGCTTGATATTCTTTCTAAATCATGTTACCATAGCCTCTTCCTGCTGGATTCCCATTTTTGTAAATCCTCCTGAAGAACACATAAAATGTTCCATTTTTCATGTCACTTCTGCTGGAAGGAGAAAGGGGAAAACTCTTGTTCATTTCACGTGATTTAAAAAAAACAAGGACAGAGCCTTGTTTCATTGCTTTAATGAGAAGGAAGGAAGGAAGGAAGGAAGGAAGGAAGGAAGGAAGGAAGGAAGGAAGGAAGGAAGGAAGGAAGGAAGGAAGGAAGGGACAGTTCACTATTCCATCAGTGAAATGTAAAAGAAAAAAACCTAAGAAACACTGACCTTTTTACCACTATCCATGAGAACAACAATCAGTGACCAGAGGGAATACCATTCCCATAAGTAGTATTCAATTAGAAAGGAAGGGTAAGGGGAAACTAGACAGCATTATCTGAGTCAGCACAAGTCAGAAGACATTACTTTTGACATGTATCAATAAAAGGGGGGAGACAGAAATTTCCTCATTATTGTGCAGGGAGTAGTAACAGATTACACTGTGTGTTTGTGTTTTTAAAAATGGTCAGTGATCTATATTTCACTAAAGCAACCTGCTCATGCAGATCAGCCCTTAGACACAGGAAAGATACCATAAAGTGTAGAAAGATTCATCTTAGGATCCTTGGAAAAATATTTTCCAAACATCTTATTCATTTTGGACAGAGATCTAAAAAGAACTGTACAGTTATTCAGATGGATATGCTTACCACTCTGTTTGTAACTTGAACTCTGACTTTACCTAAGACCATTTAGCATAATTGTCTGCTGTGTGTATGTGGTCCATGGAACAAGGGGAAAAACAAGGGAGTTAAATTATGTTCATTATGTAATTTACATTATAAGTGCAATGACGTCATGATATCTACAGTGTCACTATGGCTTGGACCAGATGCCCATGTTTGAGAATTATGGAAATATTATAGTTATAAGCTTTAGAAATACAAAAGGCTAAAAAAAATGCTCTATCAAATTCACTGTTGACAGCTGGAAACCAGGTAACTTTGATGCTGTAAAGGATAAAAAAATCTTGTGATATCTTAAAATCCCACCAAATTGTTATTCTGTGAGTCTGACAAAGCTTATACCATAATAACATATTTAAATATCCTTGTTGATATCAGCAGAGTGTTAAGAAAATGCTACAGCAAGAAAATATTTCGAAACAGCTAATGCTGGAAATGCTTCACCAATGATTTGTAATATAATTATTGAAAAAGGTCCAGCTGAAGGCTAAATCTCAGGGCTCAAAATTTGCATGGCATATTCCTTTAACCTTCTGTAATTTTAGACTTGTGTTTCTATCAGAAATAGCTGGTTTGTACAAAAGATATTTAACATATCAGAATGAATATTTTAAAATACATATTACATCTTATAGTTAGATTTAGCATCCAATGTTAATAATAAAAAACTAACAAATAGTTCTCTAAAATCATTGTAAAAAAGCAAAACGTACATGAAAGATTTTGTTTCTCATTAAAGAAAGATGAAATCATGCTTCAAAAATGATTGATATGGATTACTTATAACCAAGTTATTTAATACTACAATATGAAGCTGATCTCTGTACCTTAAGTGTAGATTTATGGCAAATATAGAAAATTGTATCACATTACTGGAAGTGTGTCAGTAAGAATAATAAGAATTGTACTGCTCACTTTCTATTTTTCTCAAGGACATGAAATTAAGCAAATGAGAGGAATAAGATATAATCATTTAGTATTTTTTTTTATTTTTTCCCATGTTATGCAGTTTTTTTTTTTCTTATAAGAGCTACAGTATATTCTTTGCCAACCAGTGATGTGGGAAGAAGAACCAGGTTTCTGCATCATTATTCCTCTCTCCTCTTCTTCAAAAAAAAAAAAAAAAATCAAGAAAGAATCCAATATGATTATTTTAGAGACAAAATTGGAGCAAGGGAGAAAGAGTTAAGATGCAAGATAAAGTCCTCTTTCTCTGTTTCTTTCTCTTAGAGACATGGAGCCAACCTACATGTTCTTTCCTATAATTTGTCACACATTCATATATTTACTGTCCTCCACAAATTTTCCTCCATTTTTCTACACAGCTTAGTACAAAGGATTTTTTTTGTCTTATACCTCCTGTATATTTCAACAGGCAATGATACTGCTCCGTCCAGGTTGTCTTCATTGAGACTTTCCACTTTTTTCCCTATTCATGATGTCAGTTGAGCACAGTGAGTAAGATAAAGCAAGAATAATCTCAGGATTTGAAAGGAGAGAACCCATGGAACACATTTGTTCTCTACTTGCTATTTGGAGACAACTGTTCATTATTTTTTACGAAGCATCTATCTACTTGAAGCGGAAAACAGTTGTTTGCAGTTGTTTGCAGATGAAATAAATAATAATATGCAGATGAAATAAATAATAATAGCTGAAATGCCATATTCCATGATTGTATCTAATAGGTTTGACAACTAAATGTATTGTATTAACAGAAATGTCTATGAAATATGATTTTCATCACTACCACTATCTGGGGAAGCATTAAACTACTAGGACAGCGGTTCTCAACCTTTGGGTCGCGACCCCATTTGGGGTTGAACGACCATTTTACGGGGGTCACCAAACAACGCGATCTGCCATTTTTTTCTCTCAGGGGGCGGCGCCGCGCATGCGCGCCACACATGGGGCGGCGCATGCATGGGGCGGCGCCACGCATGCGCGGCGCGTCCTTATGACCGGGTCGCCATATAAAAAGGTTGAGAACCACTGTACTAGGACATTAAATAATATATTTTTTTTAAAAAAATGGTGGCAAATCTAACCATCATGGCCATATTCAAGAATCCCACAAATAGAAGAAATGACCTGCATGGAATTGGGAAGAAGCATTTAAGCTTTTATGATGAACATAAAATCTGGTCTTGGGACTCTCATCAAAAAATCTCCTATCCAAAATAGTTAATTTCAGGGATCTACTGTGCAAATGAATAACAATGATAGATATGAAAACAGGGGGGATATTTGAGCATGTAGCATCCTAGTTTTATGACTGAAGTCATTGAAGTAATTCAGACCTTTCCAAACTGATGGTTCCTTAACATGGAGGAATTTGGCTATACTGATTGACAATGAAATGAAATCCAATATATTTAGGGAGACTGATTATTTTTTTAGTTCTGTGTCATCACAGATTTCATTGATCAGAGCTGATGTAATTTAGAGGTCAGATATATTGGACTTCAGCTCTGGAGAGCCATTGTCCATTGTCAGTCATGGAAGCTTACTAAGTGACTTGCTAGTCACTCTCAACCAGCAAACCTGATCACAGGAGGGGAAAGGAGGACACTGAATGCTACTTTAAGGTCCTGAAGGAAATAAATGCTAACAAATAGTGATAGAAATTCTATAAAACTGCATGAAAGAAAGATTTCTTTAGAGATACCTGGGAGAGTAAAAAGCCTCCTATATACAAAGTTGGGGAATAATATGTTGTGAAATCTTCTTATGAACCAAGCTTAGGGTGAAAACAGACAAGATCCTGACTGCACACGTGACTGAATTTTTTTTCTCTCTCTCTCATACACACACACACACACTCCATTTCTCCTATAACAGAAAATAGTAAAAGTTACATAAAAAGCTAAAAAAAAACCAATTTAAATCATGGATTGGAATTTGTTCTTTTCAAGAGTCAGATTGGTATAGTGGTTAAGGCATAAACTGGAAGCCAGGAAACTGGGAATTCTAGTCTTACCTTAGGCATGAAAGCTGGCTGGTTGACTTTGGCCAGTCAATGTTTCTCATCCCACAACATCAGGGTTAGATGAATCCAGTTAGTCACTTCTGATCACAATGATCATTATTTGGTTGATTGGGGGAGGGGCGAATCACACCTTGCACTTGTGGAAAAACTCTAAGAAGAAAAAAATCTTTTTACCTTGTCCTGAAATTGAAAGTATTATACTAATCCACAATGAGACTACATTTCATGAAATTACAACAAACTACAGTAACACTGGGGAAAAAAACATAGTAACAATTATATACAAGTATGGTTCTAATGAAAGCAAAAGTATAGTATCACATTGAAATGACTGAAAAAACTATTTATTTACCACCCTAATACAATAATTACTGCTCAACCATCATTTTTTCATATTATACATTTACAATAACAGTTTTATTCTGGATTTCTTTTTTCTATTTTGCATAATTTTGAGCCATAATTTCTGATGTAAGTTTTGATTCACATCTTCTTTAAAGCTATCTTTTATATGATTTACCATTAGGGATAGTATTTTTTAAAAGTATAAATCTAAGGCCATAAAATGAATAAACTTGCGACCATGTTTTTAATTAAAAATGCAGGCTTTTGTTGTAACACACAAGATATTTTAACATCTGTCAAAACAAATTAATTGGTGTTAAAGGAAAAACAGCGTAAAATTTGTTAAAATTAAATAAGCTATTGTGAACATTTGTGTTCATGAATTAATAAAGTTTAGTACTATAATTGTCAAACAAATGCTTTATATTTTATAATGTAATCTAACTGTGATTGTATGAAACAATTATTTGACAATTCCCTTAATTTTCTTGTTTCTTTTGATTTGATTTTTTTTTTTCTGAATGTTGCCTTCATCCTTATTCTAGTCATGAAAACTCAACACACTCACTGGTCTCCAAATCAGTATTAGGTCCATTAATTGATTCTATGCTTGACACACTAAACCTTCTCTCTCTTTGTCTCTTGTATACATCTCCACCCACATGCACAAGTGTCTCTATGCTTTATACTTTAGAGAATGTTGTGAATTATCACTGCCATACTTACTGCAGCTATACAGATTTCCGTTTTTTTATTTAATAAAGTGATTTTTCAGTCTTCATGCAAACATTGTAGGCAATCCAATTCCCACAAAGAGTTAATAACTTTTTCTTTCTTTCTGGACATTAGATTCATGCATGTATAGCTATGGTTATTATTATATTATGGCTTATCGTACCTTCAGCCAGATGTTAGACTGGATTTGTCATTTTTATCCACCTATTGAAGCCTTTCCAATGGCCTGGGATATATAGGTTTGGATGTTTGATGCTTTTAATATTATTGTTGTTGTTGTTGTTATTGTTGTTGTTGTTATTGTTGTTGTTATTGTTATTATTATTGCCAGGAAGGGGGAATAAGACTCCTCACTTCATTCAAAAGTGGTCTGTCACATTTGCCATCTTTTCTTAATTGATTTTATTGTAATTTCTTTGTTTATGTGTTGTGAGCTTCCCAGAGTCATTGGAATTCAACTGGTATACAAGTTTAATAAACTACTATTATTATTTATTTGATTTAATATAGATTCCTATACAAATATTAAATAAATAAGGTACAATAAATTTGGAAAGTAAAGATCTAGGAGTGCTCTATATCTCTTTTCTGTTGGTTGTCCAATTTTTTTTTAAGTCAGATCCAATAGTTGTATATGTGTGCATGTACAATATACTATAATTACATACTACACTACAAAGATACTATAAAGTAGTACAAGATCCTTTTTATTTTTATTGAATTATAATACTCCCATTTTGCAGAAAAAGTTCTACAACCATAGGCCAGTAATTTCATTAAGCAATAATAAATAAATCAAAGAGCAAAAAACTTCACTATTTCTTTTATTGTGAAGTAGTAATATTTTTGTCTGAAAAGAAGAAACACAAATATATTCATTTTAAAAAATAATTTGACACTCCCCTATGTTATTTTCTCAGTGGGCAATCTGTGATCCTGCATGTAATAATGTGCTGAAGTAAATTAACCATAATTCAGCCCACTTTTTTGAAATATTATTGTTGTTACCAGTAACAACACAGTTTTCTGCTCTTCCCATCCACACAATATACCTATTAAAGCAATCTGGGAAATTAGTTTGAGATAAACTGTAGAGCAATTTTATTCATAGGCTCCCTGTATCTCACACTGTTAATTTGCATCACAGCTCACTAAATAGTGCCTAATGTTTATTGCGTTTAACTGAATGTATACGATTTTGAGGATACGCCAGGGACCGATTATCATAATTATACATGTTTCTATGGAAACCTACAAGTCTATCAGTTTTGATTCATTATATTGTTATACCTTCTAGCACTTTCTAATTATTAGGTGCCCATTAAAAAAAGTCTCAGTCTTGTGGTTACTATAGAAATGAGCTATAGACAGGATTCAATTTTAACCCTTAAAGAGGAAAGTTTAGAATTATTTTTAATCCAATAAATTAAAACAGATTGCATTAAGGTGGTTCTCTCTTAGATTAAAGCACCTTTAAATGTGTCTATGAACTGGCTTTTTTCAGAATACTTTTGACAGAAAAATCAATAATTTAAAGTAGCCATTTATAAAACTCCTGCAGAACATAGTAATATGCATTCATCCATGCCATGTGGTCAAAATTATAATAGGCACATGAATAAGTGTGAGCAAAGCAATCAATACACATGTACACTTCCATTATCATTGATTTATACAACCTTGTCAATGTATACAATGTTCTTCCCAGCAAAGCAAGAAGCCATTTTGAAATTAGACATTTACAAAATGTAACAGCATGACTTTGTTGTTACGTTGCTTCAGGTTTTCTACTTCTGCCTTGGTTAAAAATTATGAACATTTGCTTGAAAGAATAGTGCTTTTATTTTCTCCTAATCCTGCCAATATTGCAGTTTTCAGTTAGAACTGCTTTTTAATTTAGATGAGGAATCCGCTTCCAAAGTGACAGCTCACTCTTCACACTGCATGTCTATTTACTTCAGAAGTTAACACATCATTCAGGAACTCGAGAACAGGTCTGATTACTATGCTAATAGTATTCAAAAATATGTTGACACAAATAAAACTAGTAAATTGGGGTTAATTCATAAAGTGAATATATATATATATACATATATATATAGTCAGTGAAACTAGGTTTGACCAGATATTATAAACTCCATTCTTTTATTTTTAAAACTAAAATGTTATGCAATTAAATAACTGCATAACATTTTAGTTTTAAAAATAAAAGAAATAATAACCATACACATTTACAATTTTCATAAATAGTAAAATAATAGAAGTTTGGTATCAAATCAATACTCATCAAGTAATATAATCTTCTCAACAGGATTTTAAAATGGTACAGTAGAAAACCAACTACATTTTATGCATTTTACAGCTGTTAAAATCCCTCAGGATCACTTTGGCCCTTAGGCTTTATAGCTATGCATGAGAGTACAAAAAGACACAAATATGTTATACTTATAATATGTCTGCATTTGTGTCATGTATATTAGTGACACTTTTGGTTTTGAATGCACACTACAAGGGGAAAAATAGAAAATACATAATTTCATATAACAAATTGCCTCTTCAAACTTTTGAATGAATGTAATTCTTTTGTTCTGAAGATTGGATGAAATTATTCATGTTTTATAGAAGTAAAAGGTCTTTTTCGTGTTTGTGGATGTGTGTGTCTTCAAATTAGACTTATTCCTGAAGATATTTGTTGTCAATATTTGTCGAACGGGGTTGCCAGTGTCTTCTTCCAAAAGCTGACTGACCCAATAACCAAGATGTTTTTATGCCTAAAACAGAACTAGAATTCACTGGCTCCTGGTTTTTAGTCTGGGATCTTCAATCACTATATCCACCAGATTCTCAATATAGTAATCTTTAGATCAACTCAATTCAACAATTCAAATGGCAAATCACAAATTTTAGTCACATATTTGAAATGAATATTGGCTGATTTATATACTCCCAAAATATTTCTATTACATATACTTAGGTATATATACATCCTAAAACCATAAATACCTTTAAATATTACAAATTTAATTTAAATCGATAATATAAGGCCTCATAAATTAGTATCATTTACTTGTTAAATTTATTTCTTGCCTAACTCACCATGGGGCTACTCTAGGCAGTTTACAATAATAAAAAGGAAGAAAATATAAGGATTATAAACAGAAGTAAAATAATAGAGCAATAAAATAAACAAGGAAAAAGAACACAATGAGAAAATGTGAGTGAATATGCAAAATAATTTAGAATGCACATATCTTTATAATTTATAAACATTATTATTTTTTAAAAAAATTGTTATTTTCTTTGGGTATTTTAGGAACTCGATATGATCTTCCTTTGTCCTCCAGCTTCCTGTAGTTTACAAATCTCTCCAGATTTCCATCTCTTATTCTCATCATGTGCTTCTTTGTTCAGAAGTCTGCCATCTCCAATTATTATGATTTCACAGTCTATCTCACACTGAGTCATGTTTAGAGCCATTGAAATCAGTGGTCTTAAGAATGCTTTATTTTGTGCTCAGTTTTGCCCAGTAATTGTGTTGTTCAGTGTTTCTAGCAGCTGAGCTTAAAAATAGTTTGATGTTACCCATAAGATCCAATGTTAAATTGTATGTTTGACAATGAATATTGCCATACTATGGAATAATGTGCTGTGTTAGATTATGGCATTTAAATGTAGCTAGGAATGTAAATAAAGGAATTCAGATGAGCTATGGGGACTATTTCTTCTTAATCATATTTTCCAATGAAAAACTTTTATGGGGTCAATGAAAGCGATCTTCACTTGTTTCTTGAAAGTGTGAGGGTCAAACTGAATATGCAATCTATACAAAGTAGCTGGAACTCTTCCTATAAATGCAAAGTCAGTTCTTGATTCGATTTTATTAGCCTTATTTCTACTTTGAACCTTCACATATTCAGTAGAGCATGGGAAGATTGCTGTGTAATGGTGTTTCCATCCAGGAGCTTAGAACAAGGTTCCATGTATCCAGAAAATGGAGTCAGTGACTATAGCCTGAAAAAAGCACTGTATTAACTAAAGGAAAGATTAAAACAACAAAAAAGCAAGAAAAA